AACTTTGCTGGAGTGTATCCAGTGGTTTCATGCTCTGGCTTCTAAGTGATAGATAATGATTCTTTAGGAAAACCACTAGATTAAGTTCCTAATATAAAAAAAGTTACATCTTACTCTGAATTATGGTAAAACTCCCTTGATTTTTTATTCATCCTGACACAGCATGTTAAGATGAAACTGTTATTTATGTACAGGAAGCCTTCAGTAATAAATGGATTTTGTTAGTTTCTTGGTAATTTTCAAAATGGAAAACATCTTTTTATCTGTCTGCTAAAATCCCAGAAGGGAGCACTTCAAAATCTGTACATCAATTATAGTATTTTGGCAATTGTGTGTAAAGTTAAAAACATTTTATTTAGGCCTATCTATGGTCTTCAAAAAGTTGACGACTCTACATGTTTCGACTCCTGAGGATGACGTTGTAACGTGTTGTCTCAGAAAGTGGGTGAAAACGAACATGTGGTGGCCTACTTCACTAGGGTCCTGAGTAGACCAGAGAAGAACTACTGTGTAACAGGGAAAGAACTCCTTACTATAGTAAAGTGTCCGACATATTCTATCCTTACCTCTATGTTATCAGCTGTGTTCCAAGAATGCTGCAAGTTGTTTGGCATCCGAAAGACCAGGACAACACCACTTCACCCACAGTCTGATGGGATGGTAGAAAAGTACAACTGGACACTGGGACAGGAATTGGCAAAGTTTTGTAATAGCTGCCAAGATGACTGGGATGTCTTACTCCCTCCACTGTTGATGGCCTATAGGACAGCTGATTTCAATGGTTTCAGTGTTTTAATAAATGAGATATAAAATGAAGTGTTATCTTTGGTTAAATATTTCTTTTGTCTATTTTTTCAATAGTAGGGGAAAATTATTTAATGGGAATATATTCTGACCAAGACATATTGGGATTTTTTTGAAACAAACTTAAAGGATTGTCTATACACAAGGAAATTGTTTAAAAAACAAACAGAAGAGATATTTTATAAAAAAAATCTAATAATTTTGATAAACAGAAAATGATTACAATAAGAATCTGTTTCTCGTTTTCTTGTGAATACAATTTAATTACAATTATACAGTTATGATAATGCAGTATTTGTTGGTGTATGTTATTTTGATAACAATCATTTTACTATCTATTAATTGTGTTTTTTTCTAAACACTGATTGCACAAATGGTAAAAGAATAAATTTTGAATTTTTTCAGGTATACCCGAACAATAGTATGTGCATAGGTGGGGGTCAAAGTGTGTGTGTGTGTATTTTACGACCTTTTACAGAGTGCCATTCAACCTGGTATGTTGAGTTATGAACTATTTGTTTTACTCTACATTGCGCATTTAGCAACAATGTGTAGTAGAGGAGTAAATACCAGATACAATATACAGGATACTGAAAAATTTGGAAGATATGCGTTTCTAAGGTTCTATAGGCTTTGCAAATATAATATGCAAACTGTACGAAGGATAAAAGTATTTTTATTCTTTACATGAACATATCCTTGCACTCTGATTTGTCAGAGTTTGAGTCAGACTGATGCCATTAATTCACAAATATATCTTGAGTACAAGTACCTATATAATACATCGATTTTCTTGTGTACAACAAACTTGAGCATGTTACTAAAAGCTGGTCACATTTAGTGTAGATACACACAGTATATTCACAATTTTGGTTAACTAGTTCGGTAAGTAAAATCAAAAGAAACTATTACATTGTTATTCTTTTTTATTATGTTAACTAAAGAGCTGACAATTATAAAAAAATATCTGAAAGTAATAACACCGAACTACTATCTTTATATCATGTGTAAAATATAATTTAAATAAAGGTAATAATGAGATTTTAGTATATATATCATTATAGTTATTAACAGGATAGCAATTCCTTTTACAGAACATAAATGAATCTGAGGCGTACTTTATGTTGTGTTTAGTATTATGAAATATGCAACATTCTGTAATTAAAAAGACATTACAACTTGTATACGACTATTAGAGAAAGAACGTAAAAACTTTCAAATATATAAATAGAATATCACAATTTTACCCAAGAAATGTAATACGGGGACATCACACTGTTACCTAAGATACATAATATATCACACTGCTTCATATGCAATATATGTGATAACACTATTACCAAAATGTACATAATAATCTATGGTAGGTATTATGACTGTCAGTTGTTCTCAATTAACAAAATATAAATAAGAAGTTATGAGACAAAATGAGTTATTAATAACACTGTATTCAAAACAAAAACAAGTGTATCAATATCAATTCTTAACTATTATCAAAAATAACCTTGATAACAAAACAAGCCTCTAAATATATATATATGAATAGTTATATATATATTACAACACAAAACCGTCATTGTTCTATTTGTGTATAGGAGTTATCTAATTACAGATAATATTACTGTGTTCAACAACACGTACATATTTGTGACTATTTCATATATATGTATGCTTGTCCAAGAATGCCAGCGTGGATTTTCAGTCTGATGTTGTGAAAATTTTATAAAAACTATGTATTTGAGAAATTAACTTTGGGACAAAGTATAAATTATTGTTCATTTGTAACTTCATACAATTTCTTTTCTTTTAAAAAACTGGAAATACAACTTGATCTAATTAAATTTCATTATGATGATAGCAAGTAACATTAAGGTTTATTTTTACATCATAAGTTGGTAGTCACTCTTCTCTGTAAGGACGTAGCTTCTGTTCGTACTGTTCACGTAATGATGTGAGGTAGGTCTTCAGGGTGCCAACGTCCATTCTAAAGTTGGATGCAACTTGTTGTAGGTTGATAGCCAGTCTAAATACACAGCGTAGACGAACAGCTTCTGGTGATTCCTGACAAGCTGTCTGTGATGAATACAAACCTTATGATGACCTTAGCATATTTCTTAGACATTTTTATTTTTACTAATGATTTGTATATTAACCATGCAGGAGATGTTACTTTAAATGTTCTATCCAATAACTTACCTGTCTTTGTAGTTGGATCTGCTGCGAAAGTACTCTAGCTTCAGTGGTTACGGAATAAGGAAGACAGGATAATTCAGCAAGTTTGAGTCCTGAAATGTAGAAATCACCTCTGAGTGTTGGAGTATTTCATTAGCAAAATTCTAATTGTAACTGTACACCATGCTTATTAAGGATGATATAATGATGATACATAAACATTACTCTGTAAGCTATAACATTTAGGAGATATTCAGCCACACTTATAAGACACAGCATCATATCTATAACATTTAGGAGATATTCAGCCACACTTATAAGACACAGCATCATATCTATAACATTTAGGAGATATTCAGCCACATTTATAAAACACAGCATTATATCTATAACATTTTGGAGATATTCAGCCACACTTATAAAACACAGCATTATATCTGTAACATTTTGGATATATTCAGCCACAATTATAAAACACAGCATTATGTTTATAACATTTAAGAGATATTCAGCTACAGTTTTAAGTCATAGTATTATAGGTATAACATGAGCATTACTCTACATTTAATAACTTTCTCTCTCTATCAACTGGATAAAAATCACGTGAAAGTTAACTTTTACAATAAAGAGGTTCAGTTCAGAGAAATTTACAATGAAAGTACTCTATTAAGGAAACTTGTACCACGATGACCTTGATATATGATATTTTAAGGTCTAGAGATAGAAAAAATTCAAGTATACTGATGACTTGACAGGATAAAGGTGTGTGTGTTTGTTACTTTTTTTGGATGAAAGGTCAAGGTCATACATGTGAGTTAAACCTTTTTGCTTTGTATTTTGGAGTGAAAGGAGGGAAGTTTTAGTCATAACTTATAAAATAAATAAAATTTGGCTCAGCTGTTATTACTAATTTGTGTTTGGGAATGAAAGGTTGAGGTTTTAGACATAACTTACAAACACATGAGATGTAGCTTCTGTAAATTGTTATTTTCCTATACTGAAAATTTATTTCCGATAGGTATTTACCTCTATTCACATGTATAGATATTCTCGTTCGGTGCTGTCTTCTATATGCAAAAACTTTTTTGCATTCCACAAGCCTTGAACTCCCACGTACCCCATAATTAACGTGGTTTAACTGCATATTGCATATAAATCATCATGTAACAGCCTTCCATGGATAGGAGTGCAACACAACCTACTGATGCATGTGACTTCCTTTATTTGATTCTACTGAACTAACACTTTGAGATTAAGCAGAAAAGGAAACACTGGTTTTTAGTGGGAAGGAAGGGTGGGAAGTTTGAGAAGAGGTAAGTACCTATCGGGAATATATTTTCAGTATAGGAAAACAATAACTTTCCATACAGTACATTAACTCTTCTCACATGTCTAGCTAGAATCCCAAATTGAATAGACAGAGGGACTGGTGCAAGGGATAGAAAAAAGTATTCCTTCAAAGCTTCCGAAGAACACAAAGGAAGTGTAGTCCCTGTTAGGAAAGGAACACATGTAGGAGACCACACAACTTCTGAACCAGATGTATTCTGTGCCCAATGTGTAAATAGATGTCATATACATGGGAAAAAAGTGGGAAGAGTGCAACCAAAATGGAGAGAAAAACTGGGTGGGTATGAATCCGAAGCACAATATACCAGAATCTCAATCCCAGTGAAGAAAGGCTGTAGAAGTACCATTGACAGCCAGGAATGTGGGAAAAGCTAAAATGGATGTGCTCCAAGGTGTAGAGTGGCTAGGGTCTGACAGACTATATGTGGACAGTCAACTTCAGTCCCAAACCAAGCATCATCAGAATTACAACTACAGATCCATGGTAGGAGGAGGGTCCACGCTGTTTTCCCCACATGTTGAGTAGAATGGAATTATATACTTTTCAAACCAATCTACGAAACAAGGCAATTGTGCACAAATCCACAACCACCCATATATTTTGAAATCCAACATCTGAATAATGGTATGAAGGGATGTGCCAATGTGACAGGTCACATCAAACTAAGCTCAATCAGACAGTGACCCCACTGTGCAGCATCAGCCTCAGGTAGTGAAAACTCTCAGAGGTGGAGTGTGAGGGGGAGAACCTTTACTTCAAACAACATCATCCTCCAGACAGGACCACACTGAAGCCAGAACATAAACCTCCGGGACACATTGCACTGAGGTGGAAATGATGAGGCAAAACTACAAAATTGAATTAGGATGAGGAAACACAACCAACACGTGTGAGTATTAATGTTGATTGGCCAGCTCCAATCCCAAACCACTCACTTGAAACTGACATCCAGGTAATGTTAGGACAAGGCATTCCAATTGAAGGGGTGAACATCAATGTGATGGATCTACCCCAAAGCAACATCATCTTCTGGATAGAACCACAAAAAAGCTAGAGTGCAAAATTAACCTCTGGATCCCATCACATGGAAGTGGATTGCCTCTAGAAAATATATGCAATGTCACCCTCTAGATACAACCACACAGAAGCTGGGCCTAACATTAACCTCTGGGATCCATCACATGGAGATGGTGTGTGTTTATTTTGAAATATGTACAACATCATCCCCCAAATAGGACTGCATAGAAGTTGGAGTGCAACGCCAACCTCTGGGTCCTACTGCACAGAAGTGGGTCATCTTTAGAAAATATATGCAATCTCATCCTCTGGATAGAACTGCACAGAAGCTCCACACAACTTTAACCTCTGGGACCCACTACAAGGAGGTGGAGCACCTCATTGGGGGATCAAATGCCATCTACACCAGCAGAACACCACCACCCTACTCTCTACTGAATGGAAGTGATCACATTCAGGAGGACTCTTCCATGGTCCACCACCAGTGGCCCGTAACTAGAAGGATTCTACTAGAAGAACAAGGGGATAAAATGTAGTGAATAGTAGAGGAATGCCAACACCAAAGACAGTGCAATGAGTGACCACAAAAAAACTTACATGAAAAAACAGATTATTCCTGATTTATTCAATTGAAGGGATGATATGGATGGGCAGCTATCCACTTCTGCTTTACTCATGTAAGTCTATGAGTTAATATGGTCTGGAACAGGCATATTTATGAAGCAACCTCACCCTCTGAATAGAATTATACAGAAACTGGGCACAACATTAACCTCTGGGACCCACCACAGAGAGATGGAGCAGATCATTGGAGGATCAAATGTCATCTACATCAGCAGAACACCACTACCATACTCTCTACTAAATGGAAGTGATTACATTCTGGAAGACTCCTTCATGGTCCACCACCCTAGTGGCTTGGAAATGAAAAGACTCTCATATTCTACTAGAAGAACAAGGGGGATAAAATGCGGTGGCGAGTCAGGAGGAATGCCAACACTGGAGACAGTGCAATGGGTGACCAAAAACCCCATTTTGAAAAGCAGACCAAACTGAATTTATTAAATCTAAAGAATGGCAGGGATGGGCAGCTATTCCATTCTATTTTTATCATGTAAGTCAATGGGTTAGTACAGTCCAGAATGGGCATATTTATTAAGCAAATATATCATGAGGAAACCTACTAGCAATCTTGAGGAACACCCCATCTCAACAGTGTGCATTATTGGCCATATACATCTTGGCCATACAGTATGGATTTGAGAAATAGGAAGCATACCTGGACAGGCATTGCTCATCACTGAGTGAGATCCTAATCCTAAATGGGACGTGTCACTGGAGGGAAATATATATATATATATAGAAAATATAACTTACCTAGTCACAGCCATACTAAAGTTTGAAGGATGGAAACAGGCAGAAAGCAGTACTCCAATGAGGAAGAAAACAGCGACCCAATGGAGATGAACATATGAGATGTAGTCCATGCCTGACTGAAGAATTTCCTCCAATGAACGACAGAGGTGAGATGCCAGGTTCTTGATCTGGAACAGAATTTGGGAAGAAAGAGACAGGTAGAAATGGACCATTTGAATCAGTTGACGAACCCAACATGGAAGGGTAGAAGGAAAAAGGTCACGTACAGATTAATGGTGACAGGGAATGAAAAGGTGGGAACAGGAACTACTAAAGGAGACTGTGCAGGCAATGTAACAATAAAGAGCATGTACTGGACATAGACATCTATCTAGATCAGATCGGAAATAAAGGTGGGAAATAAGTGGAAGTGAAATCAGCGAGAAGGAAGAATGCCCCTCATGAGCTGTTGAAGTTTTGGGTAGGAAAGATCGATCTGGACAAAGGAGAACATATGTGGAATGGAAAATGTACATGAAACATTAATGGCAAATCTATCAGACTGACTACACCAATAGACTAATTGAAGTAGGAATAAATCTGAACAGATAGGTGAAACACAGAACATGATGACAAAAGTTTAAATGGAGGGAGTGGAAAGCAGTGAAGAACAATATTGATATGATAATCCAGAATAACTGCACGACGAGGAAGTCTATGAAACTGGGAGGGATGCAAAAGGAATCAGTTGGTCCAGTCCTGACTGACAACATCCACTGCCAGGACCTGAAATTCACCTGGAACATGACACACAAGGAGACTTATCCACAGTGTGTGGACCCAGTAAAGGAATTCTAATGTTCGACCTCAAAGGGAACAGGGGTGAGTGCTCCCTTAATTATTGATATAGGCCACAATGGTGGAATTGTCAGAATGGAGCACGATATGCCATTCTGTATCAGAGGAAGAAAATGTACCAAAGCACATCATATTGCCAGAAGCTCTTAGATGTTGATATGGTAAAACATTTCGATCTGAAACCATTGTCTAGGTGCCACCTGCTGATAAACCAACACTCCTCAACCTTGAAGGGAAGCATCTATGAGCAGATACAAACACATATAAGGTGGAGGAAGCAGTACTCCTGTTGTTGTGTTTTCGTTGTTCAACTACCATTGCAGATTATCTGTAAGGGAAGGAGGAAGAGTAATTTGAGAGTTCAAGTGATCCCGAGCAAGATTCCATTCTCTGTGTAAAGTCCACTGAAGAGAACACATATGTGCCAGACCCAAAGAAATAAAGGTGCCCATAGAAGCCCAAGTCTCCAAAAGTGACAGAACCTCATGTGTAGAAACAGAAAGAACAATAAGTACATGGAGAACTGAAAGCTCGATCGAATGGAGACAAAGTGGAGAAGGTTGGACCAGAATGAGGTGGGCATTTAAAAATACACTCAAGTAGATAAGATATTGGGTAGGCAAAAGGAAAGACTTCTCCAGCTTGAGAGTCCAACCAACATGAGCTGCATCTATCAGCAGCAGATGTGTGTGTGTTAAGAAAACTCCAGTTCAGAATGTGCTAACAGGAGCCAGTTGTCCATGTAGTGGTGTAAATGCAATCTTTGAACATGCATAAGTTGGGCAAAGACCTTGATCACCCAATAAAATGCATACAGTGTTGAATCAAGACAAAAAGGCTAGGTGTGAAACTGATACACAACCACGTAGTGGACAAACTGAAGAGAGCATCTGAAATGATGAGAAATAAGAAAATGGAGATAAGCATTCGAGATGTCTAACATAGTCCTGGGCTTTTTCTCCAGGACTATGGTAAATTAGGAAGATCCAAAATTGGTTGAGGCAGGGCAAATGGATCACCAGACGCCAGTCCCCTGATTTGTATTGGGGACGACAAAAAACCTGAAGAAGGCAGGCTGATAGGCTTGATAGATCTGTAACGGGCAGCACCCTTAGGGCTAGTTATTGGAATTTATTTAGTTGAGGATTGCAGTGGCGAGTGGAGCTTACAAGTTGCTAACTTGAGATAATTTACAGTTAGAATAGAGAAACAGATTCCAAGACTAACACTGAACAACATATAACAACATTAGGTCTTTCCACACAGTATATGCTGTTAACATCAACAGTTAAACATTTAATAAACCATTAGTTTACTTTCACCCTTTAGTTAACTAAAATAACACTATTACTCAATACATATAGAATCGTTCTCTCTCTAGTATAAGCATTAACTTCTTTAGTAAACTACATCAATTGAACAAAAAAGATGGCAATTTTCATCCTTACAACAGAGTTGGGCTAGTATATTTCTGGAGATTGGAGATTTTCATAGTGGAGATAACTGCTACTTATTCAGAGATGACTATTACACCTTGGAGATAACTACTGGAGATCGTTTTGTCAGCCCTGGGAGAACTTCAATTCTTCACGGAGAACTCTGATTTTTAGCTCCAGACATCAGTTTTTGAACCACATTTTCTTTGTATTCCTTCGATCTTCCAAACAGTATTCCTAACTACCCACAAGTAGGTCTAACACTTTATTGGTCAATCTGTGCAACTTTCTTGGCTAGTCCAAAACAAGAACCAAAACTCTCAAGTAATTGGTTGCTGTAATGGTGAGTGCTCCGGTTGCCTTTTTACTTGTACTATTACACTGGTCTGGAGTAACAGATCTCGCATCAAAGCGCCGATTTGAAATGTTATCATAAACTTTTTAGTAGCCTTTACTGTACTACTAACTCGGCGTCAGTAACTTATCATTGTCAAACTTATGGCTAACGTGTTCTCAACATCTCTGTTGTAGCTTCATTTTTTACAACTCTAAAGTCGTGATTCACTAACTCATGATTCTCAACACCACTTAACCAACTAGCTATATTTTCCTAGCTCTTGGCCTTATTTCGTAATGCAGGCGTCTTTACTTACGCCATTTCTTCATGTATATGTTCATTAAAAAACTCACAAAAACTGTTATAACTTCTTTCTTAAATTATTTTAAAATACTGAAGCAATTGTAAAATTCCCTCAAAAATATCCAACTGCTTCAGATCTATGTGATAGAAGGGTTTGCACAGCCTCGGATAGATACAGACTGGTAGTGGGAACCCGAGTTAATGGGAAGGAAATCGGTACAGGAAACAACGGTGGTGGGAAAGGAAATTGATGAAAAGTCCTTCTGACAAAACTTGGATCACTCAAGAATTGGTAGTGAATACCCACCACAGGGAAGCAAAATTGGCTAAATGTGCTCCCACTGGACAGGAAACCACTTGGTAGTTACTGGAACTGCTCGCAACGATGAACCCAATGTTAAGACACATGACAAATTTCGAACCCCTAGTGGTAGGAATTTGTAAAGGATGGGAGGTTGCAGGACAAGAAACAGTTATGGGAGAGGTAATACGATCAGAATGAGACAAAGGAGCGACCAAAGACTAAAGGGTCGGATGTGGTCTCACAGATTCGACATGTAATTTTAAAGACTCAGGAAAATTTCAAAAAACAGACCAATGTTGAAAAGGATCCATCTTTAAGTTATGAAGATAAATGGAAGGAAGGTGAACCTGTAACAAGACAGTGTCCTTCTTAATAGGATACCAACAGCAATAAAACCACATGTGAAGGGATAGGGCCAAAAAAGACAATGTACCAATATGGAAGTAAGGAGGGAAAGGGTATCCCTCCAAAACTACTCAGAGGATCAGTGGAGTGCCTCAGAAAGGAAGTGTATGTTGGAAAGTACTGTAGGAGAGCTGTAAGGGTAAGATGAAAGCAGGAAACTGGACGTGGGAGAAATGGATAGGATTTATGGGACAGCCCCCACATTGGCAAAAGTGACTTCAACTGCTGAGATTCAAGAAAAGGTTGATCAGCCTGGTGATAAGTCAAAGCATAATGATCTAAAGCCCATGGAAGACGAGGCATGCTAACATCAGCCCTCAACTGAGAAACAAAATTCTCAGCACGAACCCCAATGTCAGGGGAGGGAGGGAAACAAGGTATTCTAAGAATGGGGGTCAAGTAACGATGAAAGAGCAATATCATATGAAATCGGTAAAAATGATAAAGACATCTGAGAAAGCATATCCAAAAAGGTAGAGTTAGGCCTAGCAGATTCAGTAGGAGAGACGTGGAAAGGCATACTTAGGGGGATGAAAAAGGCTGTCAAAAGCCTCATCATCATGAAGAGGTTTGGATGATGTAGGAAGAACCTGAACATTTACGGGAGAAGAAGGACGAATCATATAACGATCAATCTATCGACGAATGAAACAAAAAGACCTGAAGCCTGTGTAATGGCACTTGAAGTAGCAGTAAAAATATCAGAAGTTGTAAAACACAAACTTCGAAAATGAGAAAAAAATACAATAAACAAAGGTAAGTTAATTGTGGCAAACTACTACAGAAAACTAATTACAGTAAATGAATAAATCAAGTAAATCACTACTTCGCAAAAAATAAATGAACACACGAAAAGAGCACAATTGAAAATGGTCTGCACTCGATCACTGCCTAACAAGAAGTGATCGTTTGGTAGAATTGAATAGAGGGAATCTCATGCATCAAGAGGATATGTCACACTTCTATTGGTGTAGGGTTGTCTCATGATGATATACATGCAAGATGCAGTTGAACGCCATTAATCGTGGGAGACGTGGGATTAAAGGTTTTGACATGCGACAAAATTTTTGCATATAGAGGGCGGCACTGAACGAGTTTGTTTGTTTTTTGAATTTCACGTAAAGCTACACGAGGGCTATCTGCGCTAGCCGTCCCTAATTTAGCTGTGTAAGACTAGAGGGAAAGCAGCAAGTTATCACCACCCACCGCCAACTCTTGGGCTACTCTTTTACCAATGAATAGTGGGATTGACCGTCACATTATAAAGCCCCCACGGCCGTAAGGGCGAGCATGTTTAGTGGGACGGGGATTCGAACCCGCGACCCGCAGATTGCAAGTCGAGTTCTCTAACCACCTGGCCATGCCGGGCCCACTGAACGAGAATGGTTACAGGTGTGAGAAGAGTAATTTACTGTAACAGAATAAAAGTTAGGTATAGCACTTGAAAGATAAGTAAGGTATAGAATCATTCTCAAACTGAATGACACTGTTTAGGGTGCAAAATCAAAGTTTTACAATAATCTTCAATAGGAGACTTTTTAGGGTACACCAACTAAGAAGTTTGTTTCAGCACAAGCTACCCACCATAGTGTTCTTCACTAGTATGTCCTCTTGAAAGAGCGTGGGTAAAGTGCACCTTCATACCATTCTCGTCATGCTTTACTTCAAATTGGTAACTTCAAAAATAGAAAAAAATACAAGCATGCTTTACAGTGAACAGTTTATACACAGCTTTTGATGTCATAAAAACTTTATGAAATGCTTTTAACTTTTACAATTTTCTAACACTAAATATTCATAAAACTGAATATTCAATTATTTTCACCTCACAAAACTACAAATAGCAATCAAGCAAATACTACCGAAACTTCTTTTTCATAGATAAGTAAAACAGAAAGAACAATGCTATTCATTTCATGATGGTCAGTTGTGGGATTGAAGATCCAGCAGTATTTTACTTGGAGATTTTTTGTTTGTTTGAAGTTAAGCACAAAGCTACACAATGGGCTATCTGTGCTCTGCCCACCACGGGTATCGAAACCCTGTTTTTAGCAGTATAAGTCCGCAGACATACCACTGTGCCACTGGGGGGGCGTTAAAATAGGAAAAAAATAAAATTTTAACGGAAAATAGGGATCAATGCTGCAATAAAAAGTAAACAAACAAGTCATACTAGTTGAATAGATGTTAAAACTATTTTCAATCCCTACTTTTAAAATCTAACAAACTACTATCACTATACTTGTTTTAATATACCTATATCCCTGATAGCTATAGCTTTTACAAGAATTAAAACCACAATCACAAATTTATGAAACGTAATCCTTACTTTTGCCTACAGATAAGTGTATAAAGCTGCCAAAGTAGGGATTAAATTTTATAAATTTATGATTGTGGTTTTAATTCTTGTTTCATTACTTTTTTAGTGGGATTCTTACTTCATTTTAAAATTAATAATATATTAATACTCTAGCTTGTTTACTTTTACCTTTAGAAACTGGCACGTGTCTATCTGTTGCTATGCTTCGCCATCTATGTGGTTGAATTGGAGTTAAGATATTTAAGTACCTGCATGATATGTTTACCATTTATAAAAAAAAATCAGTATATATTTATCGAAATATCAAAAGCGAATACCCGCAGACCAGTCAAATAAGCTGGAGAAATCTTGTAGCGATAGTCCGAGCCGTCTAGGGGCTAGTCCCGCTGACGTGATCAGATAGGTAGGTAGGTAGGTGGTAGACGTAAAGGTTGATGTTTTAGACATTTTTGAACTGTTATACTGGAAATATTAGAGACCTTTTTAGCATATTATTATTATATCGTATATAATATATCGTAATCAATACTCTGTTTGATGCTTAGGAATTCGATAGGGTGGTTTTTCGGTGCATGAATTATTTGAATCTTTAGCGATCGCCACTATTAAGTGCTACTGTACTTAATAATATTCAGGATGTTTAGTTCCACAATGTGTTTTTAAAACATCAGTACTTACTTAGAGACATTATAATTGCAGTGTTACTATATTCAGGTACACTCAGAACTTTAAAAATGCGCTGCATTTAGTTGCATCCTTGTATACAGGACATAAGTGATCAGATAACCTGGAACAATAATGGTTGGCTTGATGGTTGACCTACAAACACAGATGTGGACACTGAGGTGGTCAGATAAGATCTGGGAACAATATAAGTTGGCTTGATATTGACCTATTAACATAGATGTTGACAACGAGGTGGTCAGATAAGATCCTGATACAATGATGGTTGGCTTGATGGTTGACGTGGACACTGAGGTGGTCAGATAAGATCCTGGAACAATAATGGTTGGCTTGATGGTTGACGTGGACACTGAAGTGGTCAGATAAGATCTTGGAACAATGATGGTTGGCTTGATGGTTGACCTACCAACACAGATGTGGACACTGAAGTGGTCAGATAAAATCTTGAAACAATAATGGTTGGCTTGATGGTTGACCTACCAACCCGGATGTAGACACTGAGGTGATCAGATAAGATCCTAGAACAATAATGGTTGGCTTGATGGTTGACCTACCAACACAGATGTGAACACTGTAGTGATCAGATACGATCCTGGAACAATGATGGTTGGTTTAATGATTGACTTACCAACACAAGTTTGGACACTGAGAGGGAGCAGGTGAAACCTTGAAACTATAACAGTTGATATGAGGAGTTACATGCCAACACAGATGTGGCCACTAAAGTGGACAAATAAGATTTGGGAAAAGAACAATTGGATAAATGATTTTCTATTTTTGCTTACTATGCTTTTAAATTAGGTTATTTGGTGAACGTTGATGGTCTGTAGAAGCATCACATGTATTAGTATGTGTGTGTGGATGAAATTTGGTTACCATGCAGTGTGCAATGCACATTACATCCGTATTTAGTTTTGCTTTACTTAATACTATCTAGTTTTCTGTTCAGTTTTGTACTGTTATTTTTCTGTTCCATTGTTTTCTACAATCTTTGGTTGTTGAAATCTTTTCACACATATGTAATGACTTTTTCTAACATCAAGATGATTATGGAAAGTAGAAACACGTTAGTTAGATACTTAAATGCAGCCTTTTTAAATATAATTGTTAAAGTTTAGAGACCTAAGGATGCTCTAAGATACAAAAATGGAAGGGGTATAAGAGCTAAGAACTAACAAGTTTTGACCTTCCATAAAAAGAATAAGAATATATCTTTGTTTAGTATATCCAGAGGTTACAGTTTTATCTGTGAAAACTACGTTAGTATTTCCTTGGAAATATCAGGCTAAGTTTCATTCAGAAAAAAAAGAAGGTTAGTTCAGTATTTAACTGGAGACAACTGGATACATCATAACTAGGAAAAGTATTCAAAAAAATTTCAGTACTTACTTGGAGACATTAGGGTACGTCACATCCAGAGAGGTTAGCTCCATGAAATGAGTTGCAAACAGAGTGAAAGCCTACATATAAAACTATTTCAGGAAAACTCTGGGATTTGTAGTAAACAACAAATTCAAATGTTACAGTAAAAACACACAGTTTATCCAAGAGTGTAATCCTTCTTTTTTTTAAGAAAAATGTCAACAAAATATTTTGAAAGTAATATGAAAGAGGGATGTTAATAGCCTAGTATGTAAATGTGAGTGACTCTGTGAAGGAAGGTTTAATGGCACTCCCTCTTGAAGAACATAACCTTTGTTCTACGTTACATTGAAGACGTGTTTTGGTTACTCTTATGCCCTATTTTTAATCTACTCTTGTAGCTTTTAAGAGTTAAAAATATTTCGTTTACACAGCACATTTACTATAAATGTAACCGCTTTAGATAAAATATTTATCAATAATACAGGGTGGTCCAAAATTATCTTTCCTATTTGAGAATTTAATAATTAACTAACAATGGAAATACAACCATACAGTTGTCAACATCTCGTAGCCTAACTCAGTTTTTATTGACATGTCAGTAGACTTCTACATGTGCACCATTAGTGGCTCTTAGCACGTCTAACCGATATTTGATTTCAGTTCACGTTCGCAGCAATATGTCCACAGTTACAGTGGCGATGGTGTCCATTATCTTGATCTTTAGCTCTGTGATGTTTGCCATAGGTGTGTGATACATGATATCCTTAACATACCCCAATAATTCTTTCTGGTACTGGCATCTGTAATTACACTACACCATAGCCACTGACTTGGTCTCAGCAAACCAAACAACAACCTTTTCTAACATGGTTATTTTTTTAAGAGTGAAAACAAGCATGGCAATAAAAACTGTTTCAGTTGGGCTAGAAGATGTTGAAAATTGCATGGTCGAATTTCTTTAGTTAATTATTAAATTTTAAAATATGGGAAGATAATTTTGGACCACCCTGTACATCATGTCACTTAAGACAGTCATGATGTAACCCAAACTTTTCTACTTCCATCTAAAATAATGCTAAGAAATCTTTACATTTCATAGAACATAAAAAATACAGTACTATATACTGTTGCGTCATCGAGGTCACGTACTGGTGTGGCGCCCTCTATTTTCTAGAACTATCTTGTTCTTTCATGAATGCTCTAGTATTTGCTAGATAGGGTAGGCGGGTATATATAAGAGGGGACAACGTGACGCGAGAGGAAGGTAATGTGTGTGTGAAGATAGTGAGTAATTGAACTGCAGTCAGAAGTATTATTGAC